GAAGGGAAGATATTATGTAGCAGTGAATGAATTTTTTATGTTATTTTTATTTTTTTTAAAAAAGTTACATAGGGTTAGGGAAGAAAATGTGCAACAATGAATGAATGATAACCCAACTTTTCTATAAATTTTCATTAAAACCAATTTTTAAAAACTAAATTAGAATCACAAGCTCTTTCTAAACACCAACAAAAATTCAGAAAGTGAAGTAAAAAAATAGAGAAAATGCTTTTGTAATATTACTATTCAAACTGACATAAAGTGTTCCACCAAATCTGTAAAAAAAGACATCTACTGCAAATGAGCCAACTCTGAGTCCACAAGATTCCCAAGGAAGCAAACTGCCTTATTTTCCACCTGTGGAGTGGCTGGTAGGTTTAACTGCTGACAGTGTGGTTAGCACCCGTATTCTTTAACAGGCTCCTGAAGAAAAAGTCAGCTCCACAGAAAAATCAACGAAAACAAAAAATGGTAACACACACAGTCACTAAGTTATTAAAAAAGAATTTTAACATTGGTAGTATTCTGAAAAGTGCCATTAAGACACTCAAAAACTATTACGTATCTACCGAAGAAAAACCACAATGTTGTCATGGATGTCGTTCAATTAAAACTGCTACACTCCTAAGCTCAAAGCAGAGTATAAAGTCACTAATTTCCTTCTTTACCTCACTGTTTCCCCTCCATAAAGCAATAGTGTACAACTTGGGTTATTTTTGTTTAAAAGTTTTGAATGAGGAACTTTACACCATAGTTTTTCTTCTTCCAGACATGTGTTCATCACTTGTTCATCACGTAAATGTTCCCTTATGCTTTTGAAAAAAGCTTTTTGTAAAAAAATAAATAAACTGCCACACACTTGACATGTTGTGTGCTGTCACGTTGATTCCAACTCAAAGTCACCCAACACAGCAAAGAAGAACTGTCTCACAGGGTTTCTTAGACTGTGGTCCTTTCCAGAGGTCATAGCCAGGTCTCTTCTTCTCTGGTATTTCAAATGGGTTTGCACTACTGACTTCTCTATTAGCAGCCCAGCACTTAACGTTGATGCTACCAGACCTTCTTGTATCTGATCAGAGGATAAATTGGTGTCACCTTGAGAAAAAAGTTCTGGTTTTACTAGGAAAGCTAGTGATACATACTTCATGCTCCAGGAAATACACCATTCTACTGATAAACCTTTACACCAGGAAATAGGTACAAGAATATTCACTGCAGTCCTGACAGAAATAGAAAATTTTAAAACCTGCAAACAATCAAAATATAAATCAATATTAAGAGTAAAACATCAGAATGGGAGAGGGGAAAAGACTACCACCTGCATGTGTAAACACAAACTAATCTCAAAAACAAGCAAAAGCAGCAAGATGTATGTATTTGGGGTGGTTTTATTTACATAAAAGTCAGGGAATGGTAAGTCAAGCAAAACGTCATTTAGGAAAGCCCATATACATGGTAAAGCTACACAGAAAAGCTTAGGAAGAATAATACAACAATCAAGATAGAGCTCTGTACCATGGAGTGATTCCACTTCATGGTGACCCTATGTGCAGCAGAGTAGAACTATGTTCCAGGAGACTTTCATTGGGCGGGGTTTCTGATTGAAATCTCCAAGCTTTTTTTCTCAAGCATTTCTGCCTAGACTCAACTCTAACTTTTCAATTACCACTGTGTCTTCACTTTTTGTACCACCCGAACACTCCAGTTTGCATTACACAGGCATGCCTCTGGTTGGTAGGAAGGAATATTTGAATGGGCAAGCACAAACTAATTAATTCACAAAGTTCCATTTCATAAACTGAATGAGAAGTCTCCTCGCTTTTTTTTTTTCTTTCTCAATGCTATCAAGTTGGAAAGACACACAGCAGGTTTGCAGGGGGCTCTAAGTCACGTGGGAGGAGACACTATCCATCTTTCTCCCTCAGAGTGTCTAGTGGATTTGAAATGACAGAGAAGCACTGTCTTTTTGGATTACAGCTAAGGACAATGTCACCAAGTTTCCAGAAAAAGAAACCCACATAAGTTCATTTAACTTTTCTCAGAATAGTACAGTTTAGCTATATTTGCGCTTTTCTGTTCATGCAATATTTCATAAAACATTTTAAGGAAGTAAAAAATACCCAGAAAGTAGTTTTGCATATTATTCTTGCTCAACTGTTAAAAACAGGAAGACTCTGCTTAAAACTGATTGGTCTCTTTATTTTAAACCTTTTATTGGTTTTTCATCCAATCACTAATGCATTCTGTTTTTAACATTATTTGCAATTATACAATGCCATTATTTATAACATTCTGTCAATACTTCACTGTACCGTCCCTTTTCTGTAAGCCCTATCCATCCAATTCACCAATCTTTTCCTTTTCCTTCCCTTCACTCAATCCTCCACAATTGTTTCTACCTCTGTTTAAACCTTTTCCTAGTCTTTCTTCTTCCACCTCTTTGATACATGTCTTAGTCCATACTGTTAACTATAATACATATGATGTCTGACGATCCATTCATTTTAACGTGACCTTCCATTTATTCCAAGTGTTCATAATCTACCCATTCTTTTCCTGCTTTACCCAACCCCGCCCACAACCATCTGATTTTTATAAGTGACCTTAATTTTAGTAAAACAATGAGATTTGCATGTAATAATTTAAAGTTTTCTTTTGTAAAACAGTAATGGTGGGCATAGTTCAATGATGATTAATTTTATAAAACATAGTGAATGGGAATGATTCTATGAAGCATTAGGTGAATTAAGGATAGTGCGAAACACAACACATACACACACAAAAATAAAAATTTAAAAAACATTAAATACGTTCACAGGCATCATAAACTATAAAATGTACATTAACTTGTTTTCAAAAGCATCAAAAAAGAATGTAAGATTTTAAGCTTTCTTAAGACAGACAGACTTTAATTTACTTCAATATAACTACCAATTTTTATATACCAAATGAAATTTATCTGATAACTGTTTGATTACAATTTTTAAACTTGTCATTGTTATGTGTCAGCAAGCTGGAACTGACTTATAACCACCCTCCAAAGGGTTTTCAGCAGCTAAAAATCACATGAGAAGAGATAACCCATTTTTCTCCTGTGGAGCAGCTGGTTTCTATACTTTGGGGTGGCAGTGCAATTCATTACCTACCACTAGAATTGTCGCCTTTGAGTTGTGATACTGGAGAAGAGCCTTGAACATATCACAGGCATCCAAGAAAACAAATAGGTCTGTCTTGGAAAGGGTAAAATCAAGTTTCTCCTTGGAGGCTAAGATTTTGAAGCTTCATCTCACAAATTTGGGGCATGTGGCCAGGAGAGACTGGGTCTGGAGAAGGACATCCTGGTCAAAATGGTGAAGGGACAGCGCAGGAGAGGAAGATCCTGGGTGAGATGGATTGACTCAGTGTCTGGAGTAATGGGGTTAGGTGTACCGCATTCAGTGACTGGCTCAGGATAAGGCTGACTTCAGAGCTGCTGTACACTGGGTCGCTATGAGTCACAGGCAACTTGATGGCACATAACAACAGGATTGTTTTAGTGCCATACAATTAAATACAAACAATTTAAGGGCTAAGTAAACAAGAAAGGATGTTCCAGATAACTTACTGTACATCACATTTCAATCTTAGGCCTCAAAGAGAAACTTTTTTGATAAAGTAAAAATTGCCGGGTGAAATTGGTAGGCTCCAGCTAGCTCTCTGGATTTGAAAATTGACATCTTGTGTCACAGACTCAGTACTTTCAAGAACAAATAGCAATTTCCAATTAAAAAATTATTCGCAATATCTGCAGCCCCGCGGACAGGTATCTTTATGAGCACTCATTAAAGAAGAGCTCTGCCAAAGTATATACTATTCACTGTAGATCATTTGCTTCTTGCTCCACAAAGTAAGCCAGCGACATATTTAAAAGTCCATCCAAATCGTACTGGAAAAAGTTGTATTCTAACACTGCAGATCTCTCCTGCAGAGAGCACTGAATGCGTGGAGTAATGGTGAAAAAGATGCCAGTGATCAAGAATTCTTTTTAAATACTGGTCAAAATTTAGAGTCAGAGGGGACCTTGTAAATCTTTCGATCTAACTCCCTCATTTTTCAGATGAGAAACTACTCCTCAAGGAGAAAAACATTTGACCAAGGTGAAAAAGTTTTGTAAATTTATTTCCCTTCTACTTACCCAGTGGTCTTCCAAAAAAAAAATTATTGCTACACAGATAGGGTGGGTCACCCGGCACCAGTGACTTGAATGTCAGGGTATAAAAAGGCCACAGAAGTAATCAAAGGAATCCCATTTCTTACAATTGGGGAAATTGAGACTAGAAAATGACGTAATTTGGGCGGTGAATTGCCAATCCTGCCTTCGTATAGGAAAATTCCAAAGGCAACGAAGGTAGCTGGCGAACCCCGCCAGCCAATTCCAGTGTCAAGTCCTGAGATCTCCACATTTTATTCAGTAAGAATGTGGCATATGTCACGCAGGTAGCGGGATGATAGGGAAGCTGGAATTGGAGGTACACAGCAGAGCGGTAACCAGCGCCAAACCCCGCCTCTGTGCCCGCGGGAGAAGGGGATGGAGGAAGGCAGTGGCGCTAGAACAGGTACCTGTGGCTCCCGCCGCAGTCTCCCGCCGCACTGACACCGGGGTCCGCCACCCCACTTCCGGGGTCAAGTCGCGGCAGGGAGTCTAGACACCAAGGTAGGTGAGCTCCAAACCCCGCCCCCATCCGAACTCCGCCCACACTGTCCACTTTGCCCAAACCAACTTCCGGGACGCCGCGCGTCACTAAGCAGCGGATCTCCACTTCCGGACGCATGAGGCTCTGTCCTTCTCCACCTCCTTTGGAGACAGCCCGCCCTCGATAGGACCTTCTGCGCTTTTTATTGGTAGCTCTGGATATGTGATCTACGCCGATTGGTGCACAGGAAATCTTCCCCATAAACGCTCGCGAACTCACAGTGGCAGTCGCTGTTTTTTCCCGCCTGTGGCCGGTGTGGCATGTGTCATGATGGACGTGATTGACTTGCCCAGAGCTCGCATCAATGCCGGCATGCTGGCTCAGTTCATCGACCGACCTGTCTGCTTCGTCGGAAGGCTAGAAAAGGTGCGCGGACTCCCAGTCTCTTAACAAGAGGGGAAGGCCCTGTGGCCATCAGAATGGGCAAACAGAGGGTGGGGAATAGAAAGCCGCAGAGCGTCAGCATACTCTGACTGGACTTTATTGAAGGGAAATTCTCAGCCTTGTTTGGGGTGTCTTGTTTCGACGCAGAAACGCAATATTTTCGAATTCTCTCTGTTGCCAGTTCTAGAATGTTTCCCCTCCCCCATCGAAACTTCCGTCTGTATTCACGTAAAGAAACTGCACTTGATTCCCACGTCGATGTTCTGAATTTAGCCAAATTCACCTATAACTCCCCACTTAGCTGATTTGCCTGTTTTCTTTAAAGGAATTTTCTCCTTTCCAACCTCTCTTCCTCATTGAAGTCGCTTCTCCGTAAAGTATTCCTTGATTATCCCTTACCAGATCTCACAGGAGCCTTGTTATTTTACCACAGTGTTATTGTGAAATCTTAAAGGCTAGAAAGGAGAGATGCATCTCCTTATCCCACAGGTGAGAAACGGGCACAGAATCTCAGAATCAGTGACTGAGGAAAGCTGAAGGAAAGAGAACTATTATGTAAAGGCATATTTTGATGCTTATTTCATCGACACATCAACTATACAAAATAGGTGTTATTACAACTTCAAGCAGCAGCTCAGCCCCTTTCCTTGAAGTCAGAACTGACTCTCCAGCAGGTTTTCAGAGGCTGTAAATCATATGGGAGGAGTTTGCCCATTTTTCTCTGGTGGCGCTAATAGTAGATCCGAACCTCCAGAAAGAGCTAACTTTGAATTAATAGCACAACTCCCTACCCACTAATGTACCACACTAAATGGTCTCTGGTGACTGAATCAACAGGCAGCTAGTTCTGTACTTCATACTGCTTGATTTTTAGAACATTCACCCTTCAAATAGACATTCTGTGTAATGCGTTGATGTAAGCAGATCCCACTTTTTTTATACTGTGGCACACACCAGATCCATTTTGGTAACAGTCCTATAAGACAGAATAGAACCCATCTATTGACAAGGTTATAAAGCTTAACAGAAAGTTGGCTGCATCAGTCTTTCCACGTAGGTTCTAACTACTAACCTTTTGTTTGGTAGGTCAACACTTAATACCCAGGCTTCTTGATACCGGGGGAGGGGGAAAACAAAATGTTTTCTTTTGAGTCTTTTTAATAAAAAAAAAAATTAGAGACCTTAAAACTAGTAGAGCTTTACATTGTTGGTGGGATTGTAAAATTGTCCAACCATTCTGGAAGGCAGTTTGGCGATTCCTCAAAAAGCTGAACATAGAAATTCCATATACCCAGCTTTTCCATTGCTTGGAATATGATGATGTTATTGTTATATGCCGTCAAGTCGCCTCTGACTCCTAGATACCCTGTCTACAACAGCCCAAAACCTTGCTGTATCCTGTGGCAATATATTGTCTCTGTCTGACACACCTGCTACCCCCATTACCCTAGTTCTGAATCCTTCTCATTGATGATCTTCCTCTCCTGCACTGTCCCTCCACCCTTCAAAGCAAAACATTCCTCTCCAAGGACTGGTCCCTCCTTGCAGCATGTCCACAGTATGTCAGACAAAGCCTCAAAATCCTTGCCTCCAAGAAAGTGAGAACTGAGGCTCAAACAGAAACTTGTACACCAGTGTTCATAGTAGCATTGTTCACCATCGCAAGAACATGGAAACAGTCCAGGTGTCCAACTAAATATGAATGCGTTAAGAAGTTGTGCATTCACACGAAAGAACAATCATTTTGTAAATTACTACCTAACTTGGGAGGGACTGGAGAGCATTATGTTGAGTGACCTAACTCAGTCCCACAAGGACAAATACTGTAGAAAACCATTATTGTACAATGAGTATGAGGATCCAAGGTGGGGGGAAGGGTGTTAGTCATGGGGTTGCATGATTCAATAGATGGATGGGGTAAAGGAAATGAGAAGGTTCTTTTGTGAGAATATATTCAAACTTTGTAAATAAGTCAGTAATATTAAAAAAGAAATAACCCTAGCAGAGCTGGACAGTGAAAAAGGATGACAAGAAAAATTGATCCTTTGAACTGTGCTGTTGGAGAAGGGTGCTGAATAGCCCATGGACTGTGAAAAAAAAAATCTGATATATCTTGGAGAAGGTGAAATTAGAGTGCTCTGTGGAGGCAAGGATGGCTGTTTCTTGCATACATTGGGCATGTTGCTGAGAGAAGTTATTCCTTGTTGAAGGACATCATACATATAAAGGTGTAGTAAAGAAAAGGAAGACCCTCAACCAGGTGGACTGACTCAGTGCCTACTGCTATGAACTTGAATGTGTCGTTGATTATGAGGTAGGCACAGGATAGGAAAGGGTTCACATCTGTTCATAGGGTTGCTGCGGTTTGTACTCAACTCATCAGCACCTAACAACAATAACAGTGCTAGCCAGGAACTCTGGTGGAAGTGTATAGGGAGTTATGTTGTGAACCCAAAGACATGTGGATCAGAATCTACCAGCTGCTGTACAGGAGAAAGATGGGCATTCTCTTCCCTTAAAATTTACAGCCTCTGAAAACCCACTGGAAGGTCAGCTATGAGTTGTTTACTACTTGACAACAGTGAGTAACTTAATATTGACCCTTTTTAGTTTGTTCTTATCATAGTTTCCAAATTTAGCAAATAAAAATACAAAATAATCAAAACCAAACTTAACCTCCTTTGAGTTGATTGGGAATTATGACGATTAGAGCAGACTACAGCCTAACATGTAAGGTGAATATGATGAAAGACATGTTGTTATGTGCCATCGATCCCCTTGCGACTCATAGCGACCTTATGTACAACAGCCCTAAACTCTGTTCTATCCTGTGCCAATCGTACTATCTCCAACACACCCATTCCGATTATCCCAGTTACTGAATCAATCCACCTCATAGAGGGCCTTCCCCTCCTGCGCTGTCACTCCACCCTATCAAGCATGATGTCCTTCTCCAAGGACCGGTCCTTACAACATGTCCAAAGTATGTTAGACGGAGCCTCAGAATCCGTACCTCCAAGGAGCTGCCCGGTTTAACCCTTTCCAAGATGAATCTGTTTGTTTTCCTAGCAGTCCATGGTACCCTCACTCTTCTCCAGCACCACAGCTCAAAGGCATCAATTCTCCTTCTGTCCTCCTTAGTCATTGTCCAACTCTCTGATGCATAACAAATTATAGCAAAGACCATGGCCTGTATCAGACGTACCTTAGTCTCCAGAAAGACATATACTTAGCTAAAAGAGCATTGTTTATCGGAAATCTAGATTTAATAGGGTATCTTCTTATTGGATCTAGTCATAAGTATAATGTAAATGAAATAAACTCATTTAAAAAAAAAACCAGTTTTGTGAGAATTTATTAAAGGTTAATCAGTTCATCTTTGGTGGATATTGATTTTATTTTAAAAGGTTTTATACTTTTTAAATTGTGTTTCTTTTTTAGATTCACCCCACTGGGAAAATATTTGTTCTTTCAGATGGAGAAGGAAAAACTGGAACTGTTGAATTGATGGATCCTGTATGTTTAAGTATTAATTCTTCATAGTTAATTCTTCATGTGTGTTTATTTTGAGCTCTGATGGCCTAGTGGATAGGGAGTTGCGTTGGGTAGTTCGAATCCACCACCTCCTCTAGTAGAGAGCTTCTGAAAACTCTTTGGAGGACTTAGTTCTGGCAAAGAGTTATTAATGAAATTAATATAGGTCATTCTTCATAATAGTTGTCATTCTTTATGAGCAACTATAAGATCACTTAAAGAAAAAAAATCTTACATGTTTTCTCACTTTTCCTTCAGGAGGTCTGTTATGTTTGTTTACCATCAAGTCAGAACCAACCCATAGCTAACCCTCCAATGGGTTTTTAGAAGCAGTAGATCAGGGAAGAGGAGATTGTCCATCCTCCTTCAGTTTGAACTGCTTACCAAGGGTTGACAGCGCAATTACTTACCACTTTTGTCTTTAATATGCTTAAAGCATTTATTTATGTGTTTTTTCCCTCAAGAGAGAGAAATGCACTTTTATATATAAAACAGACTGTGCTAAATATTATAGATAATAGAATTATTCCATACAAGTGGGTTCTTGTAAAGAAATTACTATGTGCCAAAATGCTAGAAATTCTTTGACTCTTTATCGTTGAGTGATTTCTTTTTTTTCTTTAAACATTTAACTATATTTTTGGACTTAAAACTATTACTAAATATAGTAAGACTTCCAAATTACTAACAAGTACTCAATAAATATTTTCAGCAAATTATAACTCAACTTTTGCATCAGTAAATGTTCACTTTATCTTATTTCATGAACTGAAATAATAACAAACTCTGACAATTTTTCAAGTTAACTGCTAGCTACAAAGTGTCATAACACATTTTATTCTGTGTTAGCTTGATGAAGAACTCGCTGGGATCATTGAAGTAGTTGGAAGAGTTACACCCAAGGCAACCATCATGTGCACATCTTATATCCAGTATAAAGAAGAAACCCATCCATTTGGTAAATAATACATTCTAATAGCTAGTGGTTTGCTCTCATAGGAGAAGTTTTATTCTTAATCAGTTATATTTTGGTCTTGAGTCTTAGCCCCTGCCATTTCTTCTTTTTTTTTTTTATTTTCTACTAGTTTGTTTATAAAATTTGAACATTGTTTTCAAGAACAAATGCTTTGAAATTTCCTCACCCACCCACCCCCATCAAATTGTAGAACCCATGATTAACCCCCTCCCTCCCCCTGCACATCCTCATCCTTCCGCTTCCAACTTCCCATCCCTTTTGTATCCTTATACTCGTTCTACAATAATGGTTTTATACAATATTTATCCTTGTGGGACTGAGTTAGTTCAGTCAGCATAGTGCTCTCCAATCCCTCCCAAGTTAGGTAATAATTTACAAAATCATTGTTCCTGTGTGCTGCATAGTATTCCATTGGTACATTCATAATTTCTCAATCCATTTTGTTTATGGTTGGACATATGGGCTGTTTCCGTGTTCTTTAACAGAGCAGCAAGTAATAGATGTTGGAGAGGATGTGACAAGAAAGGAACTCTTACATATTGTTGGTGGGATTGTGAAATGGCGCACATCTGGAAGGCAGTTTGCCGCTTGACCCAGCTATTCCACTACTTGGAATATGCCCTGAGAAAACAAGAACTAAGGCACAAACTGAGATTTGTACACCAGTATTCATAGCAGCATTTTTCACCATTGCAAGCCCTGCTACATTTTTAAATTGGAATATTCTGATCCCAGTTGAAAATGAAGAGGGTATTTGGGGTTGTGTCTAAGTTCTAGAAAGAGAAGTTTTTTGAAAACAAGAAAAAACAAATTCTCATTATTCTTTCCTCAATGTGTGATTTCAGATAATGCATTCTAAACCTAAAGTATACCAAACTGCAACTGTGCCTGGATTATGGATCTCAGAATGGAAAGGGGAGGAGGTCCTTTGTCCTACATGCCTTTCCTTTTATCGGAATCAGAGCTTTGTCCTACATGCCTTTCCTTTTATCAGAATTAGAGTTAAATATGCGTTTCCCCTTTAGTGTTAGAAACTGGATCATGAAAATAAATTGACCTCTACAAAGCAAGAAAAGATAATTAGGTGGAATTATTTTAAATAATTATTCTTTTTTTCTTTCCACTGTAGATTAAATATTTGCTAAAATATTTCTTTCAGATCTTGGACTCTACAATGAAGCTATAAAAATTACCCATGAGTTTCCTCAGTTTTTTCCTTTGGGAGTTACGCAGTATGATTGATTTTTGTGAACTTTTAATGATTATGAATATAATGCTAAAGACCTCATATTCATAAAGGAAGCTTCTGATGTTTGGGAAGTCTATATGATTTATAATATTTTTTGTTTGTTTTACATAGCCTAATTTTATATAATCCATATAATTTCATAAAATTCTTGACAACTGATGTGCTGACTTTTCTTATGTTAGGAGGAGTAGGGTCATATAATCTCTAGTAGATCAGATTAGATATATGAAGAAAGTAACCGTTGCCTTGCATTTCATCTTCCATTTTTTCAATAAATACAAATAAAATGGTAAATGCTATTGATCCATCTCATTTTTTCTTTTCTGTATTCAAGCATAAACTCAAAGTTATGTATCTGTTAAGGTCAGGGCTTATACCTATCAATAAGAAATGCCAAATCATTTATTCTTTACACACTAAGTGACACTGGTAGACTGAAAAACAATTATTTGGCTATCGGTTGGTTCTCACTCAATGATATACAACAACTAATGTATTTCTAGGCAGCTCTGGTGCCCTAGTGGTAAGGAGTGCTGCCAACCCGAAAACATGCAGTTTGAAACCACTAGTTGCTCCATAGGAGAAAGATGGGCAGTCTCCCATATGATTTACTGCCTCTGAAAATCTGCTAAAGCGTCCGCTATGAGTCATTTCCAACTTCTACTTTGTTAATTATTTCCTTGACAGAACAAACAGAACCCCATGTCTTTTGTGAATTACCTGTGTTTCAAGATTTTAAAATTTGTGTTTAAGTAGTCCCAAATGAGAGCATATGAAAAGAGCTGGTCAAATCTTTTTCTTTCTTTTCTACTATCATGAAATTCTGGTTCATCACCAATCACCAGTAATGTTATACATAGGCAGGGATGTGGATCTGTAGGTTAGGGAATGATGTAGAACCGTTGGGCTAATAGACAACATCATAATGATGAAAAGATTGAAGTTGTCAGCCATTTCATCTTGGCTCCACCATCAACATCCTTGGCGCCAGTGTTCAAGAGATCAGAAGATGTTACATTGGGAAAATCTGTCAAGAACATCTCCAGAGTGTTAAGTGATGTGCACCTGATGAAAGGCAGTCTTTCAGTTTACTTGCTATGAATCTGAAACTTGGACAATGACATAGGATGACAGAAGAATTGATGCCTTTTAGTTGTGGTGTTGGAGAACAGTATTCAATATCCTGTGGACTAACAGAATATCAAATAGATCTTGAACTAGGGTGCTGCTTAGAGGTAAGGATGGTGAGCTTCATTTCACATACTTTGAACATGTTTAGAGGAGCCATTCTTTGGACAAAGACATGCTTAGAAAGATGGAGGGTCAGCAGAAGAGAGGAAGATGCTCAAGGAGATGGACTGACCCAGTAACTGCAGCACTGGGTTGAAGTAAGTTTGAATCCACTCCATAGAAGAAAGATTCTAGTGTATTTGCAATTTTTCTGCTATGTGCTGTCAAGTCACCTGCAACTTATAGCGACCCTATGTACAATAGCCCTAAACCCTGCTCTATCCTCTGCCAGTCTTAAAGTCTCTGGTACATCTACACCCATTACACCAGTCACTGAATCAATCCATCTGGGTCTTCCTACCCTTCCAAGTAGGACATCCCTCTCCAAGGACTGATCCCGTCCTACAACATGTCCAAAGTATGTCAGACCAAGTTTCAGACTCTGCCTCCAAGGAGCAGCCTGGCTTCACCCTCTCCTGGACAAACTTGTTTGTTTTCCTACTAGTCTATGGTATAGTCAGTACTCTTCTCCAGCACTAAAGCTCAAAGGCATAAATTCTCCTTCTGTCATCCCTAGTCATTGTCCAGCTTTCTAATTTTCTGTACATTTCAAATTATTTCAAAAGTTTTAAAAAAATTAACCTCCAGAGGCTCCCCACTGACTCAGTCATATTTCCAAAGATTATTTGAAGCCTTTCACTGTGTGACCACTTCTCACATCAGCCTGAAACCTTGCCTTCCCTTCAAAGCTAAACTTGGCTACCTGTTTAGAAACTGGGCACTGTTAACCTTAGGTTTAGGTTGAAATGCCTGCCTCCATCAAAGGAACTTTCCCTAAGTTGACCTAGGAAGTTAGTCATATATTGTTCTCACATTTCTTTCTTTTTGTCTCCATACTTCTTATCACTTGCTGACAACCTTTATATTTCAGACTGAAATAATTTTCCCTTCTATTTAAATACTACAGCAATCAGAAAAGAAAGATCTGAATGTCTCCCCAGAGGCGCTGCTAGATTTATTTTATAGCTTTATAGCAATGATGTCAGTTTGAAGACTAAACGATGTCTAATTCAAGTCATGTTCTTTTCAGTTGCTTCCTATGCATCTGTAAGTTGGGCATTGACCAAGGAAAACAGAAGAATCTATGCCATTGAGCTGTGATATTGGGAGTAGAGTACTAGATAGCCCATGGACTGACATCAGAACAAAGAAGTATGTCTTGGAGAAGGTGCGGCCAGGGTGTTCCTTGGCTAATGAAACTCCATCTCACATATTTTGGCCTTGTTGCTAAGGAGAGACCTGTCCTTGGAAAAGGACATCATGCTTAGAAAGATGGGGTCAGTGAAAGAGAGGATCACCCTCAACTAGATAAATTGACACAGTGGCTGGAGCAATGTACTCCAATATATCACGGATGGTGAAGATAGAGCAGGAGAGGGTCGAGTTCACATCTGCTATTCACAAGGTCACTGTGAGTCATGGTAGACTCAAGGGTACCTAAAAATAACAGTAGGGCTTTATATAGACTGTTTAGGTTGTTAATCTAAAGAAGCAGGAATGGCATCCACTTCCTAAACAACATGCTTCTGGAAACCCTGAACTTTGAAAAAACAATAGTTAAAGTCTTCAGGCTTCAGGTCTTTTGTTCATAGGGTTCCTATAAGTTGTACTCAACTTGATGGCAATCAAAAACACTGTCCTTTAGAATGTCTTGACAGTCAATACATAGATCTACCTGATCCTTTATAAACGCTACAAAATACACAAATGTTTTCTAACATATTTAACCAATCTTTAAATTAATCGTCCCTACTTTGTCCTGGAAAGGGTTAAACTGGGTGGCTCCTTGGAGGCAAGGATTCTGAGGCTCCGTCTAACATACTTTGGACATGTTGTGAGGAGAGACTGGTCCTTAGAGAGGGACATCATGCTTGGGAGGGTGGAGGGACAGCGCAGGAGAGGAAGGCCCTCTATGAGGTGGATTGATTCAGTGACTGGGATAATTGGGATGGGAGTGTCAGAGACTGCAATTGGCACAGGACAGAGCGGAGTTTAGGGCTGTTGTACATAGGGTCGCTATGAGTCGCAAGCAACTCGACGGCACATAACAACAACTATGTGAGTAAATGTGAGCACACTGTAGAAATTTAGGAGTTTTCCCAAAGCCTAGAATAGTGCATTAATTAGTCAATTCAGCCTTTATGGAAAGTTACAAAGCTAGAAGGAAAGGTTTAACAGACCTGAACCTTAATGAGTGTAGTAGCAATGAATTCAGGATATATTGTGAGAATGTTCACAATATGTATGCTAGGAGCTAAACAGTAAGAAGGATGAGGGCAGCTGATGCTTCTTTCCTTCATTGAGAGACAACCAAGAGTTGGTTCCAACTTATAGTTGACCAGCAGGTTTCCAAGGCTGTCAGTCATGGGTGAGCACTGCCCTTCATTCTTCCTGGTATGTTTGAATCACTAGACAGGTGTGGCCTTTGGGTGTGTGATTCCCTTCATTGGTTGTTGCAGTTGTTACATGCCATCAAATTGCAACCTACTCAGCTGACACCCTTCCGCAGTGGGTTTTCAAAGCCTGGAAATTGCATGAGAGGGAATTGCCCATCTTTCTTTCATGGGATATCTATCTGGTAGATTCCAGCCACTTGCCTTTGGATTGGCAGCACAACTCCTACTCAGTTGCCAGAGCTCCTTTCACAGTTGTTAGAGGCAATAAACCACTTGAATGTAAATTTAATTAATAGGTCCTTTAATAGTTTTTCAAAGGCCTGTTGTTTCAGAAGGTCAGTCTTACTTCTTAGTCTGGAAGCACCACTGAAACTTGTCCACCAGTGATGATCCTGCTGGTATTTGAAATACTAGGGCCATAGCTTCCAGCAGCACAGCAACCTAGACGACACTCCAGTGCAGCAAACTGACAAATTCTGTAGTCATAAGAACAGACTGTAAATAAGCACAAATATACAAACCTAAGGTATAAACAGCAACATGCAAATCACTCCCTCAACAGAATGACAAATGTTATAAGAGAAAATCATAAGGACAAGGAAATATGCAGAGATGACATGGCTTCTGGCTTCATTTGGTGAGAATTCACCGTGGGCCAACAGACAGCATCATGATAGGAGAAAAGATTGAAATTGCCACCTATTTCATCTTAACTTGTCTCCACAATCAACACCCTTGGTACTCGCAGTCAAGAAGTCAAAAGACATGCTGCACTGAGAAAATCTGCTGTCAAGGACATCTCCATAATGCTGAAGAATAACAGTAATGTCAGTTTAAAGTAAATTGGATGTAAGCTTGATCTTTTTAGTTAACTTCCTGTGCATCTGAAAGTTGATCAGAGACTAAGGATAATACAAGAATTGGAGTCTTTGAGTTGTGCTGGGGATGAGTAATGAATGTTCCATGGACTGCCAAGAGATAAGTATGTTTGGAGGCTAGTCCTTAGAGGCAAGAGGGTTCAGCTTCATCTCACATAATTTGGGCATGTTGTTAGGAAAAGCACATCATGCTTAGAAAGGTTGGAGCATCAGCAAAAGAGAGAAGGATGGATTGAGACAGTTTAATAACAGCTCAGAGGATATGAGGATATGTCAGAGGATATGAGATTATGTCAGAGGATATGAGGATGGCACAGGATATGGCAGAGTTAAGAACCATTGTTCATAGGGTCACTATGAGTCACAGACGACAGCACATAACAACATGAGTCATAGTTGATTTGAGAATACATAATAATAGGTCCCTTA